AAGAGAGAAGAAAAGTAAATTACCTTAACTATAACAATTTTATTTAATGAGAGAGTCCATCTATTATTCATCAGCAGAATCAAGTCAATTCAATCTTTAGAACTCATTACACAAAGTGTTTCAATCGTAAATAATTGCGATGTTACTTATGCAATAAAATGATTCATCGTTTATTACTTAATAGTACAAACAATCGATTACGAAATTCTTGGTATTATAAAGATCTGACGTAACGTGAATAAAAGTACACTATATATATCTGTATATATAATAGAGCTTCCAATTGCTGCTGTACTGTTTGTTTTCAATAATATAACACGCTATATACATATATGTGTATATGTATATATATATAGCTTGCATTTTCTAATATTCTTTTGAGAGCGCATATATATATGTTGGTTCAATGACCATCTTGATCAAAAGATTGAAAATGACAACCACACAGCCTTTTCTCTTCGAGATAAGGTTTCAGGTCGGATAAAGCACTCCGACTGATTGTTGTTAAGACCGGAAGTAGGGCGAGACAACAAGAGGCCCACACAGGATAGTTATAATTCACGGAAGCGTGGAAAGAAAATGGCGAGGGTAGCAACCGAGAAATATGTTTTTGGCGACAATACGAGAACACGTTGGCACCAGTACCTGATGAGGAAAAAAAAAAAGTTTCACTTAGCGAAGAAAAAATCTTTTAAGCATTGAGAATGATGCATACCAACAGGCTACAAACTTTGATTTTAATTTTAATTACGATTTACTGGATTAATTTTTAAAAGTGATTTTTTACTTATAATGCTTAAATACCATTTAAACGCCAGTTTTCTTGTTAAAAATGATCAAAAATTTTCAGAGTTTTTAGCTTGAAGCAAATAACATCTTTAAAAATTCTTCATCTTTTTAAAATTCTAAAAGTTGTAATTAGCAAAATATTTAAAATATTAAATATTACATACATTCTATAAATAATCTTCTAATAAATAATCATCTTTCGTTCTCTCTTCAAAATCGGATACTAACAAAAAGGAAAAATATTTGTCAGTGTAATAAAAATCAAAGGCTTTAGAATATTCAGTTGATGTAAGTTGTAAAGCGCCAAGTTTAAAATAAAGCGGATTGATCAGACATTCATTTGAATTCGTATAATTTTCGACCTCTCTTAAATACCGGCAATTTTTTATTCGTATTTTTCATTTCCCGTCGCGAGATCTCGTGGGAGCTACGGTACTCTTCCATCGCGTTTCCTCATGCACGAGCCACCATTATCGGCATCCTGTTTAGGTATTCCGCTGCATGCATATTTTTTGCCGGGAAAATCTGGGGCGGCAGGGTGGACCGAAGGGAGGAAGAGAGAGAGAGAGAGAGAGAGAGAAAGAGAAAGAGCGACTGTTCCCAATGGGATACCCGAGCTGTCTGTACGTGATCCCTCAAATACTGCTCCATATCGTTTGACCTTTTCTAAAAACGGTCGCGCCTGAGAAATGTCAGAGTACAACCACTATTATTCCGCTGGCTATGAACTTTGGGCCATACATCTGTTACGTTATTGAAGTCATCGAACTGCGCGGCACGGCCGGCACGTTCGTGGGAGGAGGTGGAGACGCGAGATGGAATTTTCCTACGGATTGCTTCCGTGCCCTTTATCTCGCCCGCGCTTCCACTAATCGAATACGACTCCACTATAGTCGGACAGTAGTATAATCGATAATGGAACGGTACACACCGGTACCCCTCGGAATATTGCGGTCGGAGACGCGAAGTAAAAGCGCGCTTTGAGCGGAACACAATTTAATAATAGCCAATTGATTTTAGATTCATTCATCTCTACGAAAACTGATTTTCCGAGTAGCCGAGGTTTATTGAATTATCAATTAGCTAGGATATTATGAACAGGGGGATGAATTGAACATGAGTCAACTCTTTTCAACTTTTTCCCAGTCTCATTTCAAGAAATATTTGCTATACCGATAGTGTTGTTGGTTTGCTATACCGGTTATGTCGTTGCACTATTTTGCTTCAATTAATTACGTATAAAGATTTAAAAAAGTCTATTACAAAAAAAAATTAAGTAAAGAATCGTTATACAATTGTATCGTATACGCACGTGTCGGCAAATTTGCTGACATTACGGAAAATTTACGGGGGCCGAACTTCCGATAAAGTTAACGCTACATTAACGCGTTGCATGATCCATGTTGTTGTGCGTAACTAAATATGCCCCCACGCATATTGGAGAATAACATTAAATATATATGAAGATTGCAAAAGTAAATCCCACTGGTCAAGTTACAATCCATCAACGTAAATCTTTTTACCCGATAATTTTTGTACTTGTTCTACAATTCAATAATTATTACATATTTTTTTCTTATAATCAAATATGGAAAATATATTGTTTGTCGAATTTGCGAATAGTAAGATAATATTTGAAATAATCCTATAATATATGTGAATAGTATTATTAATATTAATTAATATTGTTATATATATATGTATATAATATACAATAATAATAATATATAAAGAATAATAATAATATAATTTAAAGATTCCCAATATATAATTTGATTCAAATTTTTAAAATGATAAACAATAATAAAACATATTAGCAAATATCTATTCTATTTATACGTATGATCTCGCGGTTGAAATAACAAGTTTATGAAAACTAAAACGTTTGGTTTATACGGCAGTATCGTGATTCCATTTATGACGTTTAAAAACTTGCACTCGTAGGCGCACAAGTATATATACGCTACTTATTACTTCGCAGATACTTAGAATAGCGCGACTATAATCCTCTCGAGTATGATAGTGGCACGCACGCGACAAGGGGGATTGACGAGCGACGAATCGCATGATCGATCTTCTTACAGGCTTTACCGCGACGATGGTTATCGAAAGGTAACCGTAACCTTGCTAAATTATTGAACACCGTAGTCCATGGGCGACATTGCAGGGTACGTTTCCGGCTCCTATAAAATCGATGTATTAAAAATCGCATCGGCGAGTCTAGACTCGTTAATGGCAGATACAAAGCGTAAAAAAAAAAACATAATGATATTAAAAAGAAGCGAAGAGAAAAATAAGTAGAATAGTATAGGCATTGCTCTCGTTTTAAATTCCTTCAAGTTTAATATAATCTATGTTTAAAAGAAATAATTTATTGCCAGAACAAGATGTATACATATCTGAGAATTACTAGACGTAATCATTAGATTTATAATTCAGATTTGCATAGTCATTTTTATCTTTTTTTATCTCGTTTTATTCGACGATGAAAGGCAATAACGGAAATATTGGATTTATAGTGCGAGTGAAATCTTCTTCGCTTTGAGAGCAATGATATGAACGTAATATCGTTGAAAATTAAGGCACGTTAGAAGAGTTTATTAAATTGGCTTGCGTTTAAATAAATTGAGATTTTCCGATGTACACGTATATACATACAGGAAGCTAGATAGTAGCTAATCTTCCCCTATAACGCTACGAGAGGATAAACGTTGACTCGCAAGAGGGGGATTAAAATCCATGACTCACCGGAATACGATGACGTAATTAGCGTGCGACCTCTCTTTGTCGCGCTTCTAAAAGTTAGAGGTAGGAAAGAAGAGGATGGAAAAAAGAGGAAAGATAGAGAGAGATCCGGTAACATTTCTCTTAAGCGACTAATCGAGGCTAGTGCATATATTGAGATGAAGAGGAGGAGGAAAATGATGGGAGGGAGGTAGATAGAAGATTCTCGAGCGGTCGACGAGCCTCGAGTACTATTCCTGGTATTCGCGTACGGGTACTCGTAGCGTACAACGACTATGAAAGGGATGAAGAAGGGCATGGAGAGAGCAAAGGGCGCGTGCATATGTCGCGCACAATACTATTCATTCTTCATTGTTAGCGCGGAGCT